TGTGTGTGTGTGTGTGTGTGTGTGTGTGTGTGTGTGTGTGTGTGTGTGTGTTTGTATGTGTGAATGTACTTACATGCATTCTATGTATTTATTTGTGATTGGGTAGATTGAAGAAAGGATAAGTAAATAACAAAGTGATTGATGAAGAGATAATTGATTGACAATGTTCTTTCTTTCAGGTATACAGAATGGCATACCTTAAGCCTCCTGTTCCTGCAAGGACGAAAGGACCCAAAAAAATTCCTCAAGTCGCTGAAATTGTTAGGCTGGTCAATGAGACAGACCAAGGTTGTATGCCATTCCAAAGTTTATGCGTATTTTTCCCCAATGTGAAGCAAACCCTGCTTTTGGAAACTATTCGCAAAGCTGAGATGAACTTTGAAGTGTCCTCGGGGTTCAATACGACTGTTTGTGTGAAAACAGACTTGCACATCTGCAAAACGCACATCAGAAAATCTTCCTCAGGCAAGAACAGAACTTGTGACGAGACTTGTGGGGGCCTTCACGTGTGCCGCACATTTCTGCTTTGCCAGCCTGGCACATGCCCCTTCAACAGAGGGAAGAGTAAATGCTTTTTCGGGCACGACATGAACACCCCTCATAACAAGAAACTTCTGGCTTACCACAACTTGCTCGGATTGGATGAGAAAGAACTACGCATACTTTTTCGCAGACCAGCTTCTCGCAATGAGACGACGATGCCTCAAATTTGCAAGTACTACAACAACCCAAGAAATGGCTGCACAAAAAAAAAGTGTCGCGCCTTACATGTGTGTTTAAACTTTCTGCTGGGAAACTGTGGAGATGACACACAATGTGATTACGGACGACGCCACAATCTCAGCTCCAACAATGTTGTCCGTGTACTAGACCTGTTTGCAATTGATCTGTCTTCAGCAGAATGGACAATCGTTGTTTTCTTTCAGCTGATGAAGTCGTTAATGTATGGTAAGTTTGAGACGTCCCGTAAAATGTGTCACAATGCAGTGGAATCGCCGGATGCTCGTCAATGTTTGGGCAAGAGGAGTTATTGGTATCATCTGAAAGCTTGTTCTTTGTCCTTGCTTTTGATGAAAAATTTACTCATCTATTTTGAGTAGAAGGTAATCCATTTGTGATTGAAGGAGATGGGACTCGCTTGGTGTCGAAGGTAAAATTAACTAGACAACAGACGCCAAAGTTTGGTAACTCCCAAGGATCAATGGACAGTGAAACCTTACATTTTTTTGTGTCTTTGATAAGCATTTTTCAGTAAAATGCACACAAGAATATGTTTTAAAATGGACATTAAAGGTTTTGAGCCAAAAAAATGGAAGACAATTATATCTAATTTAAAAAAAAATTAGAAGAAAATTGATTTCACCACAATGACTCACTAGTATTAACTCTAGGATGTTAATGAAACAGTACAAGGAAAGAACAAGAGACAGACCCTCAAACAATTGTTTTTAAGTACAATATGTTTTGGCAAATTTGAGATTTTGCAGACGCGAGATTTGACAGATTTTTTAACCCATGGGTTAAGAAATTCTATTAATTAAAAGATACTTTTCATTTTCTTCTTCTTCTTCTTCTCCTTCTTCTTCTCCTTCTTCTTCTTCTTCTTCTTCTTCTTCTTCTTCTTCTTCTTCTTCTCCTTCTCCTTCTTCTTCTCCTTCTTCTTCTTCTTCTTCTTCTTCTTCTTCTTCTTCTTCTTCTTCTTCTTCTTCTTCTTCTTCTTCTTCTTCTTCTTCTTCTTCT